TGATTAACTAACAGTTAAAGTTAAATTTTTTAACAACATGGTGTCTAGTATATCATTTTCAAATGTTGAAGGGCAAAATTGTGTTACATATAAGTTTAGGATGCCATATGCTCCTAAGCTAATAGTTGAGAGGTGAAATTTTCCTTTAACCTTATATTAAATGAATGATATTTTTAAAAATTTATATTTTTATTTTAAAAAAATAAGTTTATATAGTGTCATCATTGAGCTTTATTGGTATATTAGTATTATTTGAAAATGTCTTATAATTTAAAATGGTGAGAGTACTTCTCAAGATTTCAAAGTTGAATTTGTCTATATGCAATCACATTAAATATTGACCTATTGGCCAAAAAAAAAAAAAACTTCTTACCTGACTTTGGCTCTTGTGAGCTTTCAGGACCTAACTCATCTAAATTTTTATTCCTATAAAAAAATTATAGAATTATGAAAATATGTTCTCCAATGAAAATAGATAATTAAAAGATTTAAAATAAATTTTTCTAAGTAATTAACAAAAAATAACTATAATAATGAAAGTATATATAAATAACTTTTTTATTCTCCAATGTTTAGAAGACAGAGAAAATTAGTACTTATTTTATTTCAAAATTTACTATCTCTCTTTGAACAATATTTTTTTTAAGAAATTGTTACTCTTTCCGTTCAAAAATATAAGTCATTTTTTGAGGAGTTGTATGTTAAAAAATATAAGGCATTTTTAGTCTTTTGAGGTGTAATCATTGCCTTTTTTTTTCCAAAAGTACTCCTATTGATAGTGACTTTATATTTATTATAGTGTGTTTAATAGAGGTAAATATGAAAAGGTAGGGTTAGTTGGAAAGTAGGTAACTACTTTATTGGGCGGTGAGATTCGGTTAAAAATGTCTTTAAATTTTTGAACTGAGGGAGTATATCAACACTAATTTAAAACATAAAACACATATTTTGTTTTAGAATTGCTTTTTTACACAAATTATTTTACATTAAAATTTATTATTTAGTGTATATTAAGAATTAAGAATATAATTAACACTAAAAAGGGTTATGTCTAGCAGAAAAAGTTAGTCTCTCACAATATGATGAACTAAGATTCAAATCTCCACAGAGAGAAGTACCCACATTTAGTATTAAACTGTACCTTAAATATAATTGCCTATAATAAGAGGATGTCTATTATCAATAAAAAAAGAATATAAATAATAAAAATTAAATTTAAAAAACTAAATCGATAATTGACACTTGAGGGATTAAAAGTTATATTATTTATTTTTAACTTTTGTTTAAATATAATAATTATTTATTAAAGCAGGAGACTTTATGATGTGACCTTTCAATTGAATAATTTGGAGATCTTTATACATATACATACATACATACATACATATATATATTCGCTTCCTTTTTTGTGTGTTGTTGAACATTGCATTGATCTGTTTGCTATTGACAAACTTTATTGGTAGACTGATTATCAATAAATGTAGTGACATCTGTGACCACTACTACAAAATAAGCTTACAGGAGCGCTTTTTTTTTTTTACTTTAGGGAGCGCTTTTGAAGCGCTCTCGTATCGAGCGCTCCGAAATGTACAGGAGTCCTTAAAAAAAGTGCTCCTGTATGTACGCTATACAGGAGCGCTTTTGGAAAAGCGCTCCTGTAAGAGACATCATGTACGGGAGCGTTCTCTGTAAGAGCGCTCCTGTATGCCTCATACAGGAGCGCTCTCCACAGGAATGCTCTTGTATGCTGTCACCTTACCGGAGGGCTCTTTTGACAACTTACCGGAGCGCTGTTTTAAAGAGCGCTCCCGTAAGTTACTTTACAGGAGCGCTCTTCAAATGAGCGCTCTTGTATATTATTTTTATTTTTTTAAATCAAATTTTTCAAATTTCTCTTTTTACATATCTTTAACAATGGCAAATTATAATATCAAAAACTAATTTAAAAATAATATCAACATAAAAATTTATATACAAGAAAAGAATTTGAAACTGATACAACAATTTTAATTTTCTAACTAACCTAGTTTAATTTCTAACAAGCCTAACAAATGAAACTATTGTTATTTTTTTAACATTAAAATCTAACTTCCTATCACAAACAGCCAATAATATATTCTGACCATTCTTCAACTAAATCTTCTATTTGCTCTATAGTAAAATGCGAATACCTTTCTCCAATAAAATACTACACAAGATATGAAAGCAATATATAAGTAATTAACATTATATTAACTTAATTTCAAAGCTTTTGACTTACATTTTCAAGAATGATCAACTCTTGTTGTGTGATTACTTCTCTCATAAACTTCATAACATAATATCCACACTCCCAACCTTGTAATTGTGTAGGTACCTATAAAACAATAAAAGATGTCATTATCAAAATATGGTAGAAATAAATTCTAACTTAATTTAAAGTACTTCAGTGATGAAGTTATATATATGATACAAGTATTTGCTGTCAAAAATTCGGCAGAGTCTATAATTTGGAAGTTCCAGAATTTTTCAAAAATTCTACATCAATCCAGAACAACATATTCAGAATAACAAACATAAAATATCAATCAAACAATCATTTAGATATGTACCACCTTGTTTTATTAAGAAAATAATACAAACCTTTATTCTTTTCCATGAATAAAACTCAACAGGATCAGGTCTTTCGGTGTTTGGAGGGAGACCTTCACCTCCTCAATAACGTGCTACAACCCTATTATATAATGATTAAGCATACCAAGTAAAAATTAATTGTTATAATAAATATATATAAAGAATATATAACTAAAAACTTACTGATTAAATAATATCTTCATAGATTTGTAGTTTTTAAAGTCACTATCTCTTAATGAATCAAGATAATAAATCATAGGGATGAATGGATTGATACAAACAAGCACCCAATGTTGCCTGAAAAAATAAAATATTTCATTAACTAAAACATCAACTAAAGTTAAAAATAAACAATAATAACAATTTACCCTGGATTGTGAGGAGCTAAAAATAACATGTTTCTTTTGCCTTTGACTTTGAATGAATCAGTAATCTTTTGAGAATGGTACTCAACACTGTAGGTACTAGTGTTGTGCGGGCTAATAAATGAAAATTTTGTTATCAATGAGCCCGGCACCACAAAAGTATGATATAAGTACCTAAAATGAAAACAAATAGAATCATTCACAACTGAAATTAAATAAATACCACAATAAGTAATAAAATTAAGAAAGTACCTGTGTATAAACTAATTTGTGTGGTTTTGTAGCCAATCCTTGGTCAGAATCTCGTTAATATTTTCAGCTGCTAATTTTTTGCTAATTATTTCACCATAAATCTCCTTTTCAAATTCTACTTCACAGATTTCATTTTTAAATGTTATCCGCATAATCACTTCAAGTGCATTTTGATGAGGATATTTCAACTGAGTAGATTCTGTGCTGGTCTTCCCTGCCTTAGTCACAGAGGTAGATCCTTTCGACGGCTTTCCTTTTGCTTTGATTGGCTTCTTTACAACTTCTTTAACTTTTGAGGACTACAAGATGTAAAATGGAATGGTAAGGCCGTAAGAAAACATGAATGATTTTAAAGAACCATCAATTATTATACCTGTAACTTAATGAGATTTGAAGGCCAAGCCACATAAGTTCCAACGGCATCCAAAATCGTGAATATATCCTCATCTTCTATTTGCACTGGCAACTCAGCATCATTTTCTATTGGAATAGTTATAGTCACCTTTAAGTAATCAGCAGGTAACGGTCTGGAGTGTATAGTAACACTATTGTCATTATACACAGATTCGAGTGCCACAACACGACAATGTGGTGATTCTAACCATAATTGACATTGAGACTCGCCCTAAAAATTAAAAATTAATATTTTAAAAAAATGTGAAACATAATTTGTGAATAAAAAGAAGATAATAGAAAAAAATATTATAACCTTAGGAATGTCTTCTTTAGTATGGAAGGAGCAACTATCTTTATTACTGGGGCTACCTTGTGGCACATTTATAACTCCAATCATTTGCTCAAATCTCTTTTCCATTTGAGCTTGAAATTTTTTTTCCATTCTCGCTCCATTTCTGCCATCCTTGCATTAAAATCATCCTCAGTAAAAATTTTGGACCGACGTCCAAAGTAGGTGCCCTGAGAAATGCCAAATCCAATTCCTCTAACACGACCAGAGATCTCTGGAGCTCCCAATGCCCTACCAAGGACATCCACATGCTCCCCCACATCATCTTGTGATATTGATTGTGATAATGCTTCCTGTTGAACAAATTGTAAACTAATTATTAAGTAAATAATGTAAATAAAGTAATACACTAAAATATTAATATTCACATAATCCTCCCAGACTTTTCGAGTGCGTTCATCAGGTAATTTGCCTTCTTTATCTTCTCGAGCAGTCTTCCAAACAAGAGCTCGAGAAATTGAACCATTAGGTCCAACTTCTTCCCTCTATTAAAGAAGATATTAGAATAATTAAAAAACATTTCCTTATATATATATAAATAATATCAATAGACGATATTAATTGAAACTTACTAAACCATGTTCAATATCTAGATAGCTCTTTCTTCCTGCTCTATATTGAAAAGGAGTACTTGCAGCTCTAGAGCGATTGACCTGGCTGATCTGTTGAAATTCAGGCTGTTGGCGCATTTTAATAAATTCATCCCAATGCTCTTGCTGGATCTCTAGATACATTTTAGGAGGATGAGGATTGAATTCTTCATTTGCATCTTTTAGATGATATGTTGTGAGGGTAGCTCGAAACTTTCTATGAGCATATGCTGCTTTTCTCATGATATAATGCTTATGACTCTCATCCAGGTCAAAAGATATACATAAATCTTCCCATATATTATTTTTTGCTTCTTCAAGCTGTGGGTCATTTTTCTTTCTCTAGTCTGCAATGCAACAGGAAACATAATGACGAGCTAAGACCCCTATGTAACTGGCCAACTGAGGAGACTTAACTAATTGGCCCCTATCATTCTAATTTACTGGTAATTTATGACCAGCTACTCGAGCCCGTATTACTGCTTTCATAACAGTTTTACCCCGTTTAACCTCCTTGAATGCTTCTTCTTCAGTAGGTGGAGCATCACTACTGTTCTCAGGTGGAGTAGCCATATACCTGAAAGAAAAAAAATAAATTTTTAGCAACAAAAAAAAATTTAACAACTAAAAATAAATTTTTAACAATTAAAAGGAAATTTAAATAAAGAACTTACAAGTGTTAAAATTTATTTTTTCTTTTTTTTTTGTTTTTTCTTTTGTGTGTTCTACATATCCCTCGTCAATCCAAATCCCTTCCGCGTGATCAATCCCATAACATATTAAATGATCTTTCAATTCTATTGGCTTTACTCTTTTTCCATAGCAACATTTCAAACAAGGACATATGACTCCACGGGGGTCTTGAACACGACAAAATGCAAATTCAATGAATTCATCCACACCATCCCAATATTCTCTTGATAGTCGATTAGCCGACATCCACTTACGATCCATATCACTAATATGATTATCAAAATTCAATAAACAAAAGACTTAGATTTCTATAAAAAAAATTCAACAGCATCTTCCTTAAAAGAAAAACATCCCAAATGATCAAACAATTAAATTTCACAACACAATACATTTAAACTAAAAAAAATCAATTCATCTAAATAAAAATTAGAAGTATATTTCATAAATAAAATAAAAATGTTCAAGTAGTTTCCTCAACTTTAATCTAAATTATTAACTACAAATACGGATCTAATATAAATAACTTCAATTCATATATTATCTATAATACTAATTATTAAAAAAATATATATGAAATTTATTCTCAAATATATATCAATATATTACATTATAAATTAATTATTAAAAAAAATACCTTCACAGTGTAGTCTTTACGGCAGAAAACGGCAGTCTTCACGGCAGCTGCAACACACGGCGATAACGAAAGTCTTCACGGCGTCGCTTCCTCTAGTGTATAGCTACGGTGCAGATCTGGAATAGCAATGCAGATCTGGAATAGAGATGTAGATCTGGAATGGTGGTGGCGGCGGACAACTTTTTGGAATAGAGAACAGTGGCAGCGGCACAGAAACAGTGAACAGCAACGGCATGAACGGCGAAGAGCGGCGGCGTGAACAGAAAAAGTGCGAACAGCGAACAGCAAACAGCGACAGCGACAAACGGCGAACAGCGGTGGCGAGAACAGCGACAGCGATGGCACAATGGATGAAACTAAGATGTGCGAAGGCTGAGAACAACAACAGATGAAACAGGAGGCCTCAGCAAATGAGAGAGAGGTTTTAAAAGAAACTCATGCATGAGGAAAAGAAAACTGATGGGGATGTAAAAAAAGTGGGAGACTACTCTTCCGGAGCGCTCCTCGGTAGAGCGCTTCAGAAGAGCTCCTTCTTTTGAAGCGCTCCTCGTTGAGCGCTCCAGAAGATCAGTCTTCCGAAGCACTCTACCGGGGAGTGCTCCGAAAGAGCTCCTTCTTTCAAAGCGCTCTTCAAACGAGCGCTCCGGAAGATCTCCTTCTTCCAGAGTGCTTACTTACAAGCGCTCCCAAAGGTATTTTTAAATTTTTGATATTTTATTTATATTAATTAGGAGTGTTATTTTAATTAGAAGCCCTGACATACAGGAGCGCTTATTTAAAAAAGCGCTTCAGTAAATTCCCGCATTTATAGAGTGCTTTTTAAAGAAGTGCTCCTAAATACCCACTCCTAAAGATATATTCTGTAGTAGTGGACATTGTGAATTATTTTCGTTCATCCTGAGTTGTGATCATGATAGTGTTGTTAGTGTTATTGGCACTTCACTCATGTTTGTTAGTACTGTCTCTCTGTGCATTTAGTTTATGTATGTTACTATGTCATTGGGCATTTTTCTTCTGAATAGTTTAGTAGTATGCTTTTACTTGTGTCAGCTTAAGTTTTTTAGCCTTGCTTGCAGAGTATATGCCTGTAGGAAGTCTCTATGATTACTTGCATAAAAACCATATAATATGTCGGAGCTCTCTCAACTACTAAAGTTTTCGGTTGATGTCTGCAAGGGTATGGAGAGTAGTTGCCAAGAAACAATATAATTCACGAGGATCTGATACTACTACAAAGAAAACTTACGAGAATGCCCTTACCAAAGAGCTTACTTATTAAAAATGCTCCTAGATAATGAGATGGAACAATTTACAACGCTTTTTGTATGGAGGCGCTCTAGAAAGCTGAACCTATTAAAGTGCTCCTTTCTAAAATCGCTCCGATAGGATTATAAAAAAGTTAAGAAATCTTTAACCTATAAGAGCACTCCTATTGGGTATAATAAAAAAATAAAAAAAATCTTTGACTTATAGGAGTGCTCCCATTGGGTATAATAAAAAAATTTAAAAAAATCTTTAACCTATGAGAGCACTCCTATAAGACTACCTTTATAAGAGCACTTTTGTTAGAAGCATTACCATAGGCTTACCCTACTAGAAAGCTTTCATATAGGAGTGTTTTGGATATGGGAGCACTTTTGAAACATTCCTGTAGATCAAAAATAAATGCTCCCAGAATTTGTTTTTTTTTTTTGTAGTAATGTGATAGCCAATCTTTTGATTGATACCCATAATAATGTAAGAACTTATGATAAATTTTAATTTTAATACTATAATATGTTACCCTTGCACTAAATTGGGTTTTACTTTCCAAAAGTACGTTGATGAATTATATGTATCACTACAAAAAAAAAGACTTTCAGCAATGACTCTAAGTTGCCGCTGAAAATGAACAATCTACGGCGACAGTAAAAGTCGCCACTGAAAGTATGACTTTCTGTGGCGACATTGAAGTCGCCACTGAAATGGTGACTTTTTGTGGTAACAAGATATAGTCGCCGCTAATTGTCAGACTTTCAACAGTGACAAGCGCATGTCGCCGTCGAAGGTCTCAGTTTCAGTGGCGACATATAAGTTGCTGCTAAAAGTTGAGAATTAGCAGCGACTTTTTAATGTCGCCACTGATTGTCAACATATTTTAAAATATGTTATAATTTTTTTTGAAAAAACTTATGTTGTAAGTTTCAGCGGCGACATATAAGTTGCCGCTGAAAGTTAAGAATCAGCGGCTACTTTTTAATATCGTTGCTGATTGTCAACATATTTTAAAATATGTTATAATTTTTTTTAAAAAAACTTATTTTGTAAGTTTCAGCAGCGACATATAAGTCGCTGCTGAAAGTTAAGAATCAATAGTGACTTTTTAATGTTGCCGTTGATTATCAACATATTTTAAAATATGTTATAATTTTTTAAAAAAACTTATGTTATAGTTTTAGAGAATCAGCGACGACTTTAAATTTTAAAATATGTTATAATTTTTTTAAAAAAACTTATGTTATAGTTTCAGCAGCGACACATAAGTCGCCGCTGAAAGTTGAGAATCAGCGACAACTTTAAATTTTAAAATATGTTATAATTTTTTTAAAAAACTTATGTTATAGTTTCAGCGGCAGCTTATATGTCGCCGCTGAAAGTTGAGAATCAGTGGCAACTTTTTAATGTCGCCGCTGAAAATGAGACTTTTAGTGGCGACTTTGAATGTCGCTGTTAAAAGTTTAATTTTGTATTATCACCATAATTTTTTATTTTTATTTATCTAATATTTAACATTTTAAGACATTAATTCTATTGTATTATTGTAATTTTATAATGAATATATAAAACAACATAATGAGTTTTTATTTAATATATTCTATGGTTAAATTGTAACTTTAAGATAAGGTTAATGTATTATTTAATGCTAATTAGCTAAAATAAAGAATTAAGCCAAACCATATTATTTTACATGTGTGTTTGTATTAAAAAATTTACAATTGAGGTTAAGATTCAACCGAGGTTAGCAAACTAAAGTTAGAAAAAAGTCAATAAATGTAATATGATTTATGTTTGGATATATTTTTTTTTTAGAAGTCAGTTAGATAAACTAAAATTTGTTTGGATAATTTTATTCAAAAGCTAGTTGAGATGTTTAATGGCCAAAATAAGCATAAAATTTTTAATATATATTTTTTGACTAATTAATAACTAAAACAAATTAAATTTAAAATTATAACTAATAAGTGAAAAATCTTAAATATTTAAGATAGAAGAGAAGACAAGAAAGCATAAGTCATCGGATCAACATAGAAGTCAATAACACTACTTGTTTATAATAATTAAACATGTGATACTTAAATTTATTCATTCAAAGAATGATATTTTATCTAATCTAATTTTTCAATTCAAATTCTACACTTAACACCAATAACTTTAAACCTTGATGCCAGTTTAGAAACATAAATAATTATAAAATAATGTATAATAATCAGTATTTTTACTATTTATTCTTAGATATTTTTTATATTATAATTATAAATATGAATATTAAAATAAATAATATAACAAACTCAAGAAGTAAAAAAAATTAAAATAAATAATACAAATGATATTGTATCAGTTATATTTATAGTTTATTTTAAACAAAATAAATAATATAATTTGTGATTTTATAAATTAAAAGAATTAAATTGAAGTATTTAAGGATAGTAATGATATTTTATAATATTTAATATTTAATATATATATATATGTGTGTGTGTGTGTGTTTGTATATTTTAATAATGTGTGTATATATATATATATATTTAATTATACAATAACAGACTATAGGTTCATTTCAGCTCAATGGAAAAATGGTTGGACATAAAAGGAGAAGGTCATGGGTTCAAACCTTGGAGGAGACAACTTTCAAAATGGAGATATAAATTAGTAATATGATGACACGTGACGTGTGGTAGGAGCGACACGTGGAAGGTGACATGGCACCACATGGTGCGAGGTAGGGCCCTATGTGTAAGTGAACCAACATTACTTTTTAACGGTGACAAAAAAGTCACCGCTAATTGGTTGCTTCCACAGCGACAAATGTCGCCACTAATACTTAACATTCAGCGGTGACAAAATAGTCGCCGTTGATGTGTGGTTTTTACAGCGACAAAATGTCGCCATCGATTTTCAACTTTCAGTGGCAATTATCTTTCGGCTGCGACAAATTTTCTTTTCTGTGGCGACATTTATCATCGTCAATTCTCAACTTTCAGCGGTGACTTTTAGGTATTGTTTGGTTAGGGGGGAGGGGAGGCCCCTCCCCTCCCCTTGTCCCATCCAAATAAGGGGAGGGGAGCCCCTCCCCTCCCATCCCCTTATTTGGTTAGGTGTCCCCTCCCCTCCCCTCCCTCCAAAACCTCCCCCTCAAATTGGGGGAGCCCCCCTCCCCTCCCCTTCCCTCCTCTCCCACCTCCCTTTGAATCAAACAGAGCCTTATTGTTGCCACAGATTGAATCAGTGACAAGAGCTCTCGTGGTGATATTGTGGTGACTTTTTATCGCTGCTGAAAACTTTCAGCGATGACTTTTTAGCTTTTAGTGGCAACAAATGTCGCCATTAAAAGTCAATTTGTTTTTAGTGTATGTAGTTATGCCCCTGCTTGTGGATTCATTTTTTTTCTCGACCGCTTGATGATATACTATTAAAACTAAATTTACCACAGAAGTCTAACTATTAATATACTATATATAGAGAATATAGCCATTAGGCTTGATTCTCGTTGAATTCATAACTTCATATCCTCATTTAGATGTGATCATCCAATAGTATCTTTTCGTCTTATCCAGTGAAAATTTCCCTTTTCTGGTTCTAATTTCCTTTTGATCAGCTTCACTATAATTTATTTCTCTTTAATTCACATAAATCACGGGACCTGAGTGCCTGATTTCTACCATGTCTCCCTTATAAAGGTTTGTAGATATCTTCCTTCTGTTGAAAACTAGTGAATTTAATTTGTCCTATTGGCCTGACAAAAAGAAAAATTAAAGTATGTAATTGAAAAAGTAGCCCATTGCATTCATTGAATTTATTACACTCAACATGTTGTGTTCCTTCTTTTCTTGTATTTGTGGTTATTAGATTCATTTCTAGTTTGATTAAAGAGCATTGTAGTTTTTAGGTGCATTTTTTATCCAGAAAAATAGTGTGCTATTTCATATTTCAACTCATTTATGGACAGAAATTTAATAGTTGCGAAAGAACTATTGTTAGGTAGCATTTGAATTTGTGGACTTGGATTTAAATTTTAAATTTAAAATCTCGCATTCAAATCTCTGGCTTAGAATTCATGTATTTAAAATTCTTTGTTTAGATAGTTTAACAAAATTAAAATGAAGAAGAGATATGAATAAAGATTCAAAATGAAAACGAAAAATTAGAAGTGATGATTTTAACTATATTTTTCAATTGATGAGATATAAGAAAAGATATGAGAGTCATAGAGGTATCAAAAACGTGAAGAGGATGAAAGTTTTGAAGTTTAACCACAATGCAACGTAACATTTAAAATAATTAAACCAAATTATAATTGACAGTAAAGCGCATTTATGAAAAAATAGTCAAAGCATAAATGGGGAAAAAAAAAGAATTGAAAGCATACAGATGCATGTAGAACTGGCTAAAGCAAAACAAAGTACAGCCTTATTGTCATTAGATCAAAAAGTTGGGAATGAAAAGAAAATCAACACTAGAAAATAGGGGCTTTTGATCATTATTCAAGACAAGGGCTTTTGATTATTATTCAAGACAAGCTAAACTACATGAGTACATCATATGAAGACGATACATCAAATACTGATAAAGTTCAAAACTCTTTACAGTTGAGATCTCCAAATGTGATACTATGGAACGGAGCGAAACTAGGCAATGCTGATGTGGCAAGCTCCTTACATACTTGCTCTATGGTCGGGTGAATTTGTGGATTTTCATTCAAGTAAGTGAAAGATACTCTTACAATCAGCATCACCATCTCAGCCACTGAACCTTGAGGATAAATTAACCTTTGGTCTAACACTTCCTTCAAAGGAAAATCGTAGGCTTCTATTGTTGCCTCTTTTATAGAAGATGTGGTCGAGAAAAAAGACAACACAATATCTCTTGGATGCTTTCCTATGATTATTTCCAGTGCTAACACTCCAAAGCTATAAACATCACATTTCTCTGTCACTTCTATTGTGTAAGCAAGCTCTAGAGTGAAATTAAAATGATATCATGCTAAAAAGAAAAAGAAAAAATATTGGTAAGAAAATTTAGCTATAATTTTATTCAACTTGTACCACATGAAATATAGAACAATGAAATTCATAAGTAATGGGAAATCACAAAATACAAAAAAAAAGTCTTAACCTGGAGCAGCATAACTAAAGGTGCCAGCAAATATGGTCCAATTGCTTGAGTTAGGATTCAAAAGTTTGGCTGCTCCAAAGTCAGATATGTGAGCCTTATAATCTGAGTCTAAAATAACATTTTTGCTTGAGATGTCACGATGAACTATTAGAAGGGAGCATCCATGATGAAGATAGTTTAAAGCATTAGCCACACCTTCAACAACTTTTATTCTTTTATTCCAATCCAATGCAATTGCTTGTGTCTCATTACTTATTATCTTATCCAAGCTACCCCCTTCAAGGAATTCATAAATCAAAAAGGAGAACTTTATATGCAAGCAAAAGCCATGTAGTTTGGTTATATTCTGATGTCTAATTTCTGTCAATGCACGAATTTCCCTCATAAAAGCCTTTTGATGAGACAAATCCCTCTGTGGTACTGAATGAAGCTTCTTCACAGCTACAACTTGACCATTGGATATTTCAGCTTTGTAGACAGTTCCATGCCCCCCAACTCCGATGAGATATTTTTCATTGAATTCCTCTGTGGCTTAATAATGTTGTCATACGCTATTTTCCCATCAAAATTCCAGAAAGCAAACAAATTTTGAGTTTGCAGTTCCCTTTCTTGACTTTCTAATTTTCTTCCATTGTAATGGAAAATAATATATGAAATTCCCTTGTAAAGTATCACTAGCATCATCACACATCCCAAAACAAAGGAGATAGCAAAAATTACCATTTTCTTGCCCTTGTGATGGCTTGAGTTGTTATTTGTTTTTTGGGCAAATTGGCAAGTCAAATACAATGCCACATAAGCCTTTGTTGCCTCTTAATCTTTCCATTATAGCTGTACGAAAGGCTGAAATATTTGGAAGTGGACCCTCTAATTGATTTTGTGATATATCAATTGAAATCAAGCTTTTCATGTAATCAAAAGATGCAGGTATGGTGCCAGAAAAATTATTATGTGAGAGGTTCAACATTACCAATTGTTGTAGCTCTCCAAGCATGGTCAGGATTTTTCCAGTGAAAGAGTTTCCATTAAGATCAAGATATTGAAGATGTTGCAGCTGGTTAAAGCTAGAAGGAAGGCTGTAGAACTTATTTCCACTTAAATTCAATGCCCATAACTTGATCAATTGACTAACTTTTTTTGCAATTGAACCACTTAAGTGATTGTTAGCTAGACTCAACTGTTCAAGGTTCTTCAATGATCCTAAACTAGGGGGAATGTTTTTTGAAAATTGATTGTTGCTCAACATAAGCTCAGTCAATAATGACAATTGACTCAATTCTTTCGGGATCTTTCCTATCAATTGATTTAAAGACAAATCAAGTCTCTGTAACTTCGTTGCCTCAAATAACTCCAATGGTATGCACCCTGATAAGTAATTATTAGATATCTTGAGGCTTGAAAGACTATGGCACTTACCCCAATGTGGTGACAAGTGGCCATAAAATGCATTGTTACTCAAATCAATGTAGTACAAGTGTGAGTATACTCTAAAAGCATCAACTATATTTCCTATGAATCGATTATTTTCGAGTCTGACTCTTCTGAGGCTAGACCAATTCTTCAAACTTCTAGGAATTGGACCAGCGAAATGATTTTGACGGGCACTAATCATAGCAAGTACCCCACCATGGCAAATGTCTGGAGGCAAATGACCTTTGAAATTATTGTTAAAAATTTGCAAGGATTGCAACTTGGTAAGGTTATTCATTTCTGATGGAAGATTGCCACTAAGTTTGTTCTGAAACAAATTTAGTATGGACAGCTTTGTCATCTTTCCAATACTTGAAGGAATAGAGCCAGAAAGATTGTTTTCAGACAACTCTAGCAAGGTGAGTTTGGTCAAGTTTCCAATACTTGAAGGAACAGATCCAGAAAGATGGTTCTCATAAAGAAGGAGGGTGTCCAGATTGGCCATATTCCCTATAGAGCAGGGATTGGTCCCGATATGTCATTGTCTAACAATTGCAATGTTACCATGTGGTAGAGTTTCCCCACTTCCCATGGAATGGACCTTAAGATTTGATTGGAATAAAAATAAAGATCTTGTAAATTAGACATGTTTCCAATAGTACTAGGGATGCTACCAATGAGATTGTTTTCAGACATGTCAAGTTGAAGAAGTTCCTTCAACAATCCAATTTCATGGGGAATATAGCCAACTAACTGATTATGTCCAAGAGTTAAGTACCAGAGGTTTATCATCCTTCCAATTTGGGGAGGAATGTGGCCAGAAAGGAGATTGTTTCCTAGATCTAGGTAAGACAAGTTGGCCAAATTTTCTATACCTTCAGGGATGAAACCATTGAAATAATTGAAACCCAAGTCTAGAACAACAATATTCCTTGTCAATTGTGTGATCAAAGATGAAAGTGTTCCAGAGAGATTATTGTTATTCAAAGAAAGTTTTGACAGTGAGGACAAGTTGCCAATACTTTTTGGAATGCTACCAAAGAACTCATTATCGAAAAAATTTATAATGTTAAGTTTGGACAGTTCACCAATCTGAGAAGGGATAATCCCATAAAATGAGTTTTGATGTATGGCTATGAATCGGGGATTTGGGAAAGATGAGAAATTGAGGTTATAGAGCGTACCTCTTAATCCATGATTTTGAAGAGAAATATTGGAAATGGAGTTGAATTCATCACATGTAATTCCAACCCAATTGTAAGGATGACTAGTATTACCACTCCACGATGATAATAGAGCTTGGCTTTTGTTGTCAAAGCTGGCTTTCCACTTCAGTAAAGCATTTGCTTCACTATTTGGTGAAGTTGTGGAAGAGGAGACATGTGATGAAGAGAAAGTTATGAAGTTGATCATAAGGGCAACCCACCAAAGTGTTAACATTCCAGAAAACTGAGGTTTTCCTAATACGAATTCCATTGTTATGAAGGGAATTTTGAATCAAATGAGGATGGCGTGAACACAAAGGATGCTAGATGTAATACACACACACACACAAGTAAATGTGGTAACAATAATTTATTCTTACTTTCTGTATTCCCAACCTACAAGGTAATTTACTCAACACGTGTAAATTACCACTTGAATTGATGGAGCTAAATGACATTGACTGAAGAGAGCATGAACATTGTAAGTGTAAAGAATCCATGACTCTACATGTGCAATGTAGCTGATTGAGGACTTTTCTTCAAACGCGCAAGTTAGGCCAACTTGAGAAGTAACGATTAAGAAACAAATTAAGGACATATGAGTAATGACTTTAGAATAAATGCAGTCGGTGATAAATATCTTAACTAACACGTTTGTCACCAAAGACTTTTTCGCGTCAACATTTTCCAAAGATACTTTAAGGACGTGTGAAGTGAAAATATCGAAATAGAGAGAGAGGGAGAGAGAAAGAAGAAGTGATGATTGTATTGTGTTGGATGTCCTGTAAATTTTTGTGCCATAGTTCCTTTCCCTTTTTGAAAATAAAGGTTACCACTTTTTATTTTGAGGGATAGAGTTTTTTTTTTTTTTTGGCCACCAATTTTGAGGGATAGTTAACCACTGGAAGTTTAATAAGTTCTTATTCATTATAAATTACTTCTATAAATAATGAGAAATTTCGTTTGACACAAAAAGGTTAGATTATATTTTGGGTCATTTATTATATTTGTATCAGAATATCTTCAATATAAGCAGAAATTTAATAAGGTATGAAGAAATTTACAAAGATATATAAACTAAATAAGGATGAGAAGAAGATTCTACAGCATAGGATTTATCGTAGTTCAACTTTCTGTTAGAGCCTATAGTCTAGTTTGTAAAAGCAAACCATTAGACATTTCTTGCTATGAGTTCATATATTGGCTTGGGAACTCACAAATAAAGTCTTGTAAATCTAAAAAATTGTCCCTGCCAGTATGATGCTGATTTTTTTTTTTTTCATTGGGAATGAATTTCACTTGTATTCATGATATTTGTATTTTTATTGAGAAATTAATGTTACGAAAAGAGTTATCCATGAAAAGTTCTGATGACTAGCAATAAATCAAGTGAAATGCTATGAAGTAAATATCTCATAGACAATAGCACTCAAACATAAATATATTGTTATAAGTCTCATATTAAAGGTTTTCACAAGTGAATTGTGGTTTGTAAGTGTAAAAAAATATTCTTTTTAATAAGCTCTAATCTTTTAAATTATGTTCTCCAGTCTTCTTCACGCATGAATTTTTTCTAGGTTCACTCTCTTGATCTCTTTTCCAAGATTTGAAAGATAAAGTAACTCATTTAAAAAAAGTTTTTCGATTATGTGAAATTGAGTATTGGAAAAATATATAATTACAAAAAATAAAAATATAAGTATTATAAAAATTTAAAGGTAAACACTTTAAAATTTAAAGTTTTTTTCCCAAAAAAGCAAGTCAATTTCACTAATAAGAAAAAAAAATTAATTTTTGAAAATTTAAAGTGTTGGAAAATAGAAAAGATGTGTATTTAAAAAAATAAAGCAAAAGTGTTGGGGGGAAAACTTATATACAAAAAATAGAAAATGAGTAATTATAAAGAGGAACCTTTTGGTCAAAAGAACAAAATTAATTCCTATCAAGGACCTTAATTAGAAATGAAATTAGATATTGAATTTAGATTCAGTGCTCATGTCTACGATGATTCAATTTTGAATTTTTAAATTTTTAAATTGAAGTGTTAATTAATTAATATAAATATTAAAAATATTATGTATTTCTTTTTATAAACTAGATAATAATCGAATAGATCAACATTAAAGATTATTATCACAATTCTCATCTTTCAGTAAATCGCTAGGCACCTAAACTTTTTTACTTAAAAAAAAAAAAACGAAAGAAGATGTGGATTTGAAAGAAATTTGGCCGTCAGACTACGATGCCATTGTGTGCTATCTCACAATTCACACGGCAACGTTTTGTCCATTGTCATAGGACTTTAGCATTACAATGATGAAGACCATTAACAATACACTTTCTGAATTGCTTTATGTGACTTTTGATTTTAAGAAAGGTTCATGTTAAAAAAAAAAAAAAGCTCAATGAAATAGGAAAATAATTTATTAATTTGATCGTAATATTTTTAAATTATTTATTTAAATATTTTTACACTTAATTATTTAAAGTTTCTTAAAATAGGTGGAGTAGACAATTGGCTTATAAGGGCCAATTAATAATTTTAATTTTTTAACATAATTAAAAAAATTAAAGTATTTTTAAAATTTTTAACAAAATATTTGTAAGATTGTTAAAAAATTAAATTAATGTATAAATTTTACAAACAAAAAAATTGTATCTTTTGAAAAAAAAAAAAAAAGCTGTGTTATTACGTACACACGCGATACACACCCACACATGATTCATGAAGATGGCGGTAGTCACTAGTCAATATGTACGTGGGTCCGCCTGCTATCTTCCAATAATCTCACATGGAGATTTCATGTACGATGGTCACTTATAAGGTTGGGAATAGGTTCGACTTACTTCAAGCTAAATCTAATTTATTTATTAAATAAATTTAAATTAAATTTATATTTTTAATTAGGCTTATTTAATTAAATAGTCAGTTTTATTTTTCAAGTCTATAAGTCCAACAAACTAGCCTATTTACATACATATATTATATAATATATCACAAACACGTCAATTTCACTGTTTGATTTTTAATCAATCTATTTTTTTTTTAGTTTTAGTTATATTCAATCATATTTGATTTATATATTAATTTGAATTTTAATGTTGTTACTTTACTGTTATATTCTATTATAGTTATTAAGTCCTTTCGATTATTATATATTATAATTGATAAATCAGATTATATATTGTATGTCATAATATTTCTAAAGTATATTTAAAATGTTTAAAACTAAAATGTGAGCCTATTTAAGAGGCTTATTTTTCAGCAAGCTTTTAAATAAGCTTTCATGCTAAGCTAAGCTTTAAATATGCTCAAGCTTGAGCCGTGAAAAAAAAGTCTTATACAAGCTTTAGGCCATACTCAAACCTCTGATTTATCATACAAGCTCAGACTTATTTGGTCAAAGTTTACCTCAACCTAGCTTGTTTTCATCCCTACTCACTTAATACTTTACCTACTTCGACAACTAAGCACTTCAGCATTATTCTTTTTTGAACTTCCAAAAAGAAAAGAGTTTTGTAAAATATAAATAATTATTATGATTGCGACCATGGTTTTCATAACATATAGTCTCTCTATTTAAAAATAGAAAGTATTTTTTAATGAATTGGATGTTTAAAAATGTAAGACATTTTTAGTCTTTTAAGGTATAATCATTGCTTTTTTTTTCAAAAGTACCCCTATTGATAATGACTTTATATTTATTATAAAGTGTTTAATAGGAGTAAATATAAAAACATAGGGTTAGTTAGAAAGTTAGTAACTACTTTATTGAGGGGTGAGATTCGATTAGAAATGCCTTATATTTTTGAACAGAGGGAGTATATTTGAAAGGGAGAACAATATTTAGATCACAAAAAACCAAATTAATGACAATTAAGTTTTAAATAATTTTTTTTAAAATATGTTGCAAATGTCAATACAAACAATTCAAATTCTAGGGTTTCAATTACATAAAATTTATTTAAGTTTTAAAAACGTAAATCTTAGTTTGTAATTTAAATTCAGAATTTATATTTGCAATCAATTTTTGAATTTTTTTTCCAAAAAGTAAAATTCTTACTCTATTAATTTCCTTTTTAAGGACCTACAGACTGTCATTCTCCCTATCTAAAAACAACAACTAAAACGCTAATACAATGTATGCTATGTAAGAATTACTTTATAGAACACAAATTAATATGAAATTTTATGATCTTTATTATTAAATTAAGAGCACCACATATAAGGAAATTAAATCCTTTATTCCAAACTGTATCCGATATACTACATTCCAACAAGTTTCCTTGTTGACCATGGCCAATGACTTTAGCAACCATGAGAGAAGAACTTAAGAGAAAAATTAAAGAGCTGTACGAAAATAATAATAGAAATGATGCGTAAATTTTGGAGTGTCATAATTGGTCGACCCATATCATCCCCCGTAGGAGCAGGTGATACTAAACATTGTGCCCAAGTCATTTTATACCCATAGATTAATAGCAATACTAAGCACATATAATAAATATGTATGCCAACATTGTGCACAAACTTAGCAGAGGCCACATCACGTGGATTTTTCAAATCGTACCCTTTGCTATTCTTGGATGAACTCCCACTTATCTATGATCATGCAAGTTCATTCAACATATGCAAAGATATTCTCACATGCATATCTCAATAATTCAACAATTGCATAAATTTAAGAACTTGCATGCTTATCATAACCCATACATCAACACAATTTACAACAACTCATCATATCATGATCACCAAGCACAATTCATCATAAAGAGGCATGCTTCATGACTCTCGCATCAAAGTCAAAGTCAACAAATTCATTATCATGCTTTTATTGCTCATTCTAAGCCATCAATAACATTAATTCAATTATGCAAACATAATGATATACTCAAATTAAATTCCTGCTTACCTCAATTCTTAGGTTTACAACAATGATATACCCAAGAGTGTAACTTTGAATTTTCCAAGGGAGCTTCCCGCCAATATGAGCTCTGGAAACAATCACTTTACAATCAATGATAAAAAAAACATTAATAATTAATTATCATTAATCAATCCATTAGAGTCATATGAATTGCTATACAATGAGCCTAGGTTTGGAGTAGGTGTAAACAGGCAGGTATGGGCCACCCGTGGCTGTACCTGTTACCCGCCCGTTTATGGGTAAACAGGTGGCCACCCGCCCATACACGTTTGCACCCATTTTTAAATGGGTGCAAACAGGTTTGGGCCACCCGTTTACCTATAACACCCTTTTTTTTTTAAAA